CTATTGCTGATCCCTGGGTTGAGAAAATGGATTTTCAAATGTAGGGACCATGTATTTAGATATGTTTTATCACATGTTAATATATATCGCATGATATTCAGGCTGGTTGTTGCTTCCATGTACATATGCAGATATTGTTTTCCATGTGTGTTGTGTGCACACATGTTAGCCTTTGTGTTTGTATAGTTGAGTGGCAGCATGTGGGTGGGGGAATTCCCTAACCACAGAACACAAAAGTTTAAGCACTGGAAGTTGGTTTGGAGTCTCTCCTGCGGGTTTGAGTCTACCAACATTTTCAGGACCTATACTTCTATCCAATCATAATATATATAGATAGAAAATGTGTGTGGTGTGTTACGCCGAAAGGCGGTTATACCGGCTATACTGATACAGACACAGGAAATGCCCTCTTTTATTAAGTCATACAACTGACACTATGTCGTACATGCATCAGATTCTAAATGGTTTGTTGTATCTACCAAACATTGTGTCTTCCTTTTTACCATCATTTTTGACAAATTATGTGCTGGGTTGGCCAGAATGCTTCCATTTGCATGTCTCAAGAAAAGTTTGCCTTTGATATGCGCGTCTGGGTCTAGAGTTCTTAGTGCAAGGTTTCGTTTTAAGGGTACAAGAGACGCTGGGACTACATCTTCTCTGTTTCACCATGCTCACTAGTTATCACTGTACACACGCCGTACCTGGTGCTGTCAAAAACCACCATTTGGTGTCTGGGAGGAGTACTGTTGTTCCTCTTGCACCAGATGGAAAGAATGATAGCAACAAAGCGCAGTGTACTGGCTATACTACCACAGATAGGACGGCAAGGAGGACAGATACATGTAAGGAGAAAGTAGCAGGTTCACGTTGTTTTGACAGAAGGTGATGTGAAAATAGAAACAGGTGCAGAGGAGGTTATAGCAGAGTCAGTGGTGCTTTAGGTGATGTTTGTAGCCACTGTGGTAGGTGCATGGGAGGTCAAAACAGTTGTTGGTTCTTCACAAGATGACATCAAATGTTCAGAACTGGTATCTATGAGCTTCTGACCATAGAGGATGTCAGGTTGGGAACAAGTGATGTAGTCGTCATAAGAATAAGACCTTGTCATCTTCAACCTAAAGCCCACCATCCTACAGTCACACTGCCAGGGATTGTTGTAAAGATGGAGGAAAAAAGGTCAGAGATGGAGGAAAAAAGGTCATAGGCCACGGATGGAAGAGTTGTCATTTGGTTATCTTTGAGAGAAAGTACAGAAAGATTTTCAAGTCTTGCCAAATCTTCAAAGGGAAACGTTTTGATGTTGTTGTAGGTCAACCTAAGGACTTGCAGTTGGAGCAGATTTGAAAGTAAGTTCGGTGGAATGGATTGAATATAGTTGTTTAACAGGTACAACCATCGCAGTTGTGGTATAGAATTGAAAGTTCCAGCCTGAATAGAACTGATGTCATTATTTTTTAGCGAAAGCATCTCCAAGTTTCCCAGCCCTGTGAACATGCCTGGTCTGAGGTGGGTGAACATGTTGTCATCCAGCCACAAGTGTTTCAGCTGTGATGTTGGATTGAAAGTGCCAGCCTGAATGTCCATAGTGGGATTATTGCAAAGCCTAAGGTCCTGCAAGTTCCCCAGCCCTGTGAACATGCCGGTTCTGAGGGTTGTTAACTTGTTATTACGCAAGTGCAAGGTTCTCAGTTGTGGTGTTGAGTTGAAAGTTCCAGTCTGAACATCACTAATGTCAACATTCTGCAGCTCAAGTTCGTCCAAGTTCCCCAGCCCTGTGAACATGTCAGATCTGAGGCCTGTTAACTTGTTGTTATTCAGGTGCAGCCTCCTCAATTGTGGTGTTGAGTTGAAGGTCCCAGCCAGAATATCGTTAATGGCATTAACGGTTAGATAAAGTTCCCGCAAGCTTCCCAGCCCTGTGAACATGTCAGATCTAAGGGTTCTTAACTTGTTCATACTCAGGTACACCGTTGTAAGTTGTGGTGTTGAGTTGAAAGTCCCAGCCTAAATATCAGTGATGTCATTACTGTATAGATAAAGTTCCTCCAAGTTTCCCAGCCCTGTGAACATGCCAGATCTGAGACCTGTTAACTTGTTGTTAGACAGAAACAGCCTTGTCAGCTGTGGCGTTGAGTTGAAAGTCCCAGTCTGAATATCAGTGATGTCATTATTGTTCAAATAAAGTGTCTTCAAGTTCCCCAGCCCTGTGAACATGTCAGATCTAAGCGTTGTTAACTTGTTCATACGCAGGTACACCGTTGTAAGTTGTGGTGTTGAGTTGAAAGTCCCAGCCTGAATATCAACGATCTTATTTCTGTCTAGCCCAAGGTACTCCAAGTTCCTTAGCCCTGTGAACATGCCATATCTGAGGATTTTAAGACGGCTTCGGTAGAGATCTAACTGCTTTAAATATGACAGGTGATAGAATGCCTGGCTTTCAATCCTGGAGAGACGCCTATTGGAATTAAGAACTAACATCTCTAACCTGCTATACCGCGAGAAATCAGACTGGCGTATGATTCTGATTTTAGATCTAGTAATAGTTATATCTGTGATAGTTGTAGGCAGGTCCTGTGGGACACGGCTGAGGAACCGAGTGTCACATGAACAGGAAGATGGTGAGCAGACGCACACACTGTCACTTTGGGAAGCTTCCGCTGTTCGCAATACCTGAAGGATGACCAGGAGAAACATCAACACACCTGCTGGCTTCTTATCCATGATGATCCTGCCATGGTACAAGACATGTGATACTAAGCAGGCATGTCACCTGCATATGCAGGTAAAATTGCAGTTGTGTACAATGACTGACTAGGTATTTCTGATATCTATCTGCACCAGCCCATGTACTGCCTGGGTTTCTGTACAAAAAGATGTGTATGATCCTCAGTACATGTAATTCTATTAAAAAATCATTCAAAATAATCAGATCAATGCTGATCGCTGATCACTAGTTTACCTTGTATTAAGCAAACCTTACTAGTGACTGTATTTTATAGGACATTGCTGATGTCCATGTTTAAGGTATATTATTACCTCCATGAAAAATGGAGGTATTGTTTTTGGCCCGTCTGTGTGTGTGTGTGTGTATGTGTGTGTGTGTGTGTGTGTGGTTCCGCACATTTGTAGTCAGCATAACTTCAGAACGCCTTTATGGATTGTGATGATATTTGGTATGCTGGTAGGTCTTAGGAAGCCAAAGGTCAAGGTCAAATATGGGCGTCCTGGTGGCTGACCTTGGTACTGCATCAGAACTTCTTTTTGCAAGGCAGTGAAAACAGATGTGCGGTTATGCAACAAAACACCAGCACACGTGTGGAGGCAGCGGGGATAATTCACGAGGTTCTCCCTATGGAAAAGGCTACTTGTACAGTTGGCCATATCTATTACAGCCTGACCTATTTCAGGACAAATTCAGGTTTGAAAACAAAAACCTGTGTTATTTTGTTCTTTACTGTAGTGTACTGTGTAAAAACATTTACAAAAACTCATATATTTCATGGAGGTATGAAATCTCCGAATTCTTATATAGTACATTCAGCTGGCATTTTGCCTTCTATAAATGCTTGATAGTTACAATACAATACCTTACAACAAAACATAACATAGGAAGTAGAAAGCTATGACAAAACTTACCTTGACAGTGAAGATTGACAGCTGTCAGGTACAAAACTGGTCAGCAGCAGAACTCCAAACTTGTGCAGTCAACCCTGGAAGCGCCATAAAATGTGCTGCTTGTCACCAACCACAAAATTCTAATTTAAAGTGTTTCAAATACTGTAGTCAGTCACTTATTATTCAACAAAGCTTAAAGCAATATGTGCTTGCCAAGCAATCCCAAACTCAGATTTCCTTCGATGGTTAGTTTGTGATTGTTTTTGAAATCAGTGAATAGCAACCGGACAGTGATTATAAGCTAGTACATAACTACCTCAAACTTCAAATTTAAAGTACCTTCCAGGTTTGTCCAAAGTTTCCTCTGAAGACAGACAGAGCTTGAGGCACAGGAAGGCGAGTGGGGACGGTGTCTTCTCTCCTGACTTTAAGGACCTGGTGAACTTGAAGAATGTCTACTCTGAAAAGTCCCTCTTCTAATTTACAGCTGCGCCACAACAAGCTTTGTACCTTGATCCTTGTCAAACATGCTTATTGATTGATTTGTAAAAATAGAACCGGTGGTTAAATACTGATCAGGACATGTGATCACTACAATTGTTACTCCGTGAAGGAGGTCTGGACCTCCGGACGGAATGTTGTAAACAGCCGTTTTTTCGTGTTTCGCAGCTGTTCGCGGCGAGGCGCAACAGTTGTTGTTTGGAGGGTATTTTTAGTACGCGTTCACAGGACGCGTGATCGGCAACTTCCAGGAGGGCCAATGGGTCAGGGGTTAACGTACTCTTGCGCAATCTTTGTTTTGGATGTTTTCGGCGTATATTACGACTTCTTAACTTTACCGCGGTATACTGTCTCAGACGTTCTCGACATGCATTTTACCGTGGGTACATGTTATGGGCTGCAGATGAAAATGTTGACCTGTGTTAACACAACCAGGAACGCTAAATCTAACACATAAAATTAAACACCATCAACTATACATAACAAACAACATATAGAAATATACAATAAAGAGCCCGGAGGTATAAAATCCCAGATTTTCCTTGTTTGTTCTGAGGTTTCATGAATTTAGTGTTACATATCATTAGACCAAATTCTTCAGCAAAGTCAATCAACTTCTGACCATTTTTTGTTAGTCTTATACTATACGTGAAAGTAGCGTTTCCTGTCCAATCTGTCACTTTTCTTACTCTTATAGAACCTATATTACTCTGCAGTTCATAAATTTGTACTGGCTTGGTTCCGGCTGGACAAGCCGGCAATGGATAGATTTATTGCATGATTCTAGTAATCATCAAAACCGGAAAAAACACTTCTTTTATGATGTCTTAGATTTGTCTGTTCAGGAGAGAGTTGAACATTGACCTACTTATGGCAGGGCTATCTTCACTGGACGTTGATCAGAATGGTGCACAAACACACACACACGCACAAACACACACACACGTTCTCTCTCTCTCTCTCTCTCACACACACACACACACACACACACACACACTACTCTCTCTCTCTCTCACACACACACACACACACACAAACACACACGCACATTCTCTCTTTCTCTCTCTCTCACACACACACGCACACACACACACAAACATGTAAACACATAAACAAAGAAATACAATTGCGCACACAAGGGATCATGAATCAGCAAAGGATATTATTAGTATCAAATTATTTTACAAGCATATAAATGTGTCAAAGATCTCTCAACAAAATATTACATCATGTTAACAGACATTAGTTTCCTATTATATGGGCCACAAAACACATTAATCATTAATCACACTTTATGAAGTCTTTACCTCGATCATCAAAATAATCATTCTACAACTATGTTCTTCTGAAAGTAAAGTTAAAGCTGACATACCAAATGGTAGATAACTGTTATCATAACACATAATTACATCTTGGCTAGCTGAAATGTTCATTGTTACAAACTTACATACATGTGTAGTACATTACAATACTTATTATACAGAATAATATCTGCAGTGACCTTATCTATTAAGACTTTAGTTTGTACAGTTCTATAATTATGTTGTACATGTATATAATTAGATATTATGTACTTTTCTAAGATTACCAAATGGACATCATAATTACAAGTCATTTTTCTACACACACTTGCTATTAATTGTGAGCATTGAACATACACATGTATGTACATTTGTCGGCTAGTTTTACACATTAATTACTTTGATAGAGCTGAATAGAAACTTTAAAGCTGGGCAAAGTTGGTTTAAAAAACAGAATATTGCAGATAGTATTGTCTTTATTAATATGCACTTTAGGTACAATTCATAATCTGGTTCATTCTGCATGGCTTGATAATATTACTTTGACAATCGATACAGAAAATGTTTAAATAAGTTAAATAAAACATTCAATTTGGCCAGTATCTGTCCCTACCATTAGTTTGTTTGTTTGTTTATTAGAATTCACCACAAGTACAAACATACAAGTGGAAGGGAGGACAAAACAGGTGTATTGACACCTTTACAAGTTGTCCACCCAAGCACAACAATATAAATACAGTGCAATACAAATTACAAAGTCGAACAATTGTTGACATGAAATACAGATTCCTACAATAACATACAATAGTCATAAAAATGCAATACAATACACTGCTATAAAATATCATTCATTATATAGAATTGTAATAATATTAAAACTAGTCAGAATACTAATAAGGCCTTAAGTTTAAGCCAGTTTAAGCTGCTAGACAGTCTTGGATATTTCTGTGGTTATGAATTGGAGAATTGTTTATTCAACATTTAGAAGTTTATTCACTACTGGAAAGTTCACAGTAGGAAGCACTTCCTTATTGCTGATCCCTGGATTGAGAAAATGGATTTTCAAATGTAGGGACCATGTATTTAGATATGTTGTATCACATGTTAATATATATCGCATGATATTCAGGCTGGTTTTTGCTTCCATGTACATGTATTGTACAGATATTGTTTTCCATGTGTGTTGTGTGCACACATGTTAGCCTTTGTGTTTGTATAGTTGAGTGGCAGCATGTGGGTGGGGGAATTCCCTAACCACAGAACACAAAAGTTTAAGCACAGGAAGTTGGTTTGGAGTCTCTCCTGCGGGTTTGAGTCTACCAACATTTTCAGGACCTATACTTCTATCCAATCATAATATATATAGATAGAAAATGTGTGTGGTGTGTTACGCCGAAAGGCGGTTATACCGGCTATAATGATCATGATGTTCGTCCATCGCAGTCGATGATGACCCCAACTTCAGTCCTTAATGATACAGATACAGAAAATGCCCTCTTATATTAAGTCATACAAATGACACTATGTCGTGCATGCATCAGATTCTAAATGGTTTGTTGTATCTACCAAATATTGTGTCTTCCTTTTCACCATCATTTTCAACAAGTTATGTGCTGGGTGGGCCAGAATGCTTCCATTTGCATGTCTCGAGAAAGGTTTGCCTTTGATATGCGCGTCTGGGTCTAGAGTTCTTAGTGCAAGGTTTCGTTTTAAGGGTACAAGAGACGCTGGGACTACATCTTCTCTGTTTCACCATGCTCACTAGTTATCACTGTACACACGCCGTATCTGGTGTTGTCAAAGACCACAATTTGGTTTCATGGGAGAAGTGCTGTTGTTCCTCTTGCACCAGATGGAAATAATGATAGCAACAAAGAGCAGGGTACGGGCTATAGTACCACAGATAGCGGCAAGGAGGACAAGTACATGTAAGGAGGTTCACGTAGTTCTGACAAAAGGTGATGTGACAATAGAAAGAGGTGCAGAGGAGGTTATAGCAGAGTCAGTGGTGCTTTAGGGGACGTTTGTAGTCACTATGGTAGGTGCAGGGGAGGTCAAAACAGTCGTTGGTTCTTCACAATATGACATTAGATGTTCAGAACTGGTATCTATGAGCTTCTGACCATGGAGGATGTCAGGTTGGGAACAAGTGATATGGTTGTCATAAGAATAAGACCTTGCCATCTTCAACCTAAAGCCCACCATCCTACAGTCACACTACCAGGGATTGTTGTAAATGTATACCTCAGAGATGGAGGAAAGTAGGTCATAGGCCACGGATGGAAGAGTTGTCATTTGGTTATTTTCGAGAGAAAGTACAGAAAGATTTTCAAGTCTTGCCAAATCTTCAAATGGAAACATTGTGATGTTGTTGTAGGTCAACCTAAGGACTTGCAGTTGGAACAGATTTGAAAGTAAGTTGGGTGGAATGGATTGAATATAGTTGTTCAACAGGTACAACCATCGCAGTTGTGGTGTAGAATTGAAAGTTCCAGCCTGAATGTAACTGATGCCATTATTTTTTAGCGAAAGCATCTCCAAGTTTCCCAGCCCTGTGAACATGCCTGGTCTGAGGTGGGTGAACTTGTTGTCATCCAGCCACAAATGTTTCAGCTGTGATGTTGAATTGAAAGTTCCAGCCTGAATGTCAATAGTGGGATTATTGCAAAGCCTAAGGTCCTGCAAGTTCCCCAGCCCTGTGAACATGCCGGTTCTGAGGGTTGTTAACTTGTTATTACGCAGATGCAAGCTTCTCAGTTGTGGTGTTGAGTTGAAAGTTCCAGTCTGAACATCACTAATGTCAACATTCTGCAGCTCAAGTTCGTCCAAGTTCCCCAGCCCTGTGAACATGTCAGATCTGAGGCCTGTTAACTTGTTGTTATTCAGGTGCAGCCTTGTCAGTTGTGGTGTCGAATTGAAGGTTCCAGCCTGAATATCATTAATGGGATTAACGGTTAGATAAAGTTCCCCCAAGTTTCCCAGCCCTGTGAACATGTCAGATCTGAGGTGTGCTAACGTGTTTTTAAACAGCCACAAGTTTTTCAGTTGTGGTGTTGAATTGAAGGTCCCAGCCTGAATGTCAGTCATGTCATTACTGTATAGATAAAGATCCCGCAAGTTCCCCAGCCCCGTAAACATGTCAGATCTGAGGTTTGTTAACTTGTTGTTAGACAGGTACAAAATTATCAGTTGTGGTGTTGGATTGAAGGTTCCAGCCTGAATATCAGTGATGTTATTACTGTATAGAGAAAGTTCCTCCAGGTTTCCCAGCCCTGTGAACATGTCAGATCTGAGGCCTGCTAACTTGTTGTTAGACAGGAACAGCCTTGTCAGCTGTGGTGTTGAGTTGAAAGTTTCAGCCTGGATTTCAGTGATGTCATTATCGTTCAAAAAATTGTATGCAGGTTACCCAGCCCTGTGAACATGTCAGATCTAAGCGTTGTTAACTTGTTCATACGCAGGTACACCGTTGTAAGTTGTGGTGTTGAGTTGAAAGTCCCTAGCCTGAATATCAACGATCTTATTTCTGTCTAGCACAAGGTACTCCAAGTTCCTTAGCCCTGTGAACATGCCATATCTGAGGATTTTAAGGCGGCTTCGGTAGAGATCTAACTGCTTTAAATCTGACAGGTGATAGAATGCCTGGCTTTCAATCCTGGAGAGACGCCTATTGGAATTAAGATCTAACATCTTTAACCTCCTGTACCGCGAGAAATCAGACTGACGTATGATTCTTGATTTTAGTATCTAGTAATAGTTAAATCTGTGATAGTTGTAGGCAGGTCCTGTGGGACACGGCTGAGGGACCGAGAGTCACATGAACAGGAAAAAGGTAGAGCAGACGCACACGCTGTCACTTTGGAAGCTCTGCTGTTCGCAACACCTTAAGGATGACCAGGAGGAACAATCACTGCCATCAGCACACCTGCTGGCTTCTTATCCATGATGATCCTGTCATGGTACAAGACATGTGATATTAAGCAGGCATGTCACCTGCATATGCAGGTAAAATTGCAGTTGTGTACAATGACTGACTAGGTACTTCTGATATCTATCTGCACCAGCCCATGTACTGCCTGGGTTTATGTACAAAAAGATGTGTATTATAATTAGTACATGTCATTCGATAAAAAAAACACATTCAAAATAATTATATCAATGCTGATCTCTGATCACTAGTTTACCTTGTATTAAGCACACCTTACTAATGACTGTACTTTATAGGACATTGCTGATGTCCATGTTTAAGGTATATTATTACCTCCATGAAAAATTAATGGAGGTATTGTTTTTGGCGCGTCTGTACATGTGTGTTTGTGTGTGTGTGTGTGTGTGTGTGTGTTTGTGTCCACACATTTGTAGTCAGCATAACTTCAGAACGCCTATATGGATTGTGATGATATTTGGTATGCTGGTAGATGTTAGGAAGCCAAAGGTCAAGGTCTAATATGGGCCCCCTGGTGACTGACCTTGGTACTGCAGCAGAACGTCTTTATGCAAGGCAGTGAAAACAGATGTGCGGTTATGCAACTAAAACACCAGCACACGTGTGGAGGCAGCGGGGCCCTATGGAAAAGGCTACTTGTACAGTTGGCCATATCTATTACAGCCTGACCTATTTCAGGACAGATTAAGGTTTGAAAACTAAAAACCTGTGTTATTATGTTCTGTGCTGTAGTGTACTGTGTAAAAACATTTACAAAAACTCATATATTTCATGGAGGTATGAAATCTCCGAATTCTTGTTTATATAGTACATTCAGCTGGCATTTTGCATTCTATGAATGCTTGATAGTTACAATACAATACATTACAACAAAACATAATATAGGAAGTAGAAAGCTATGACAAAACTTACCTTGACAGTGAAGATTGACAGCTGTCAGGTACAAAACTGGTCAGCAGCAGAACTCCAAACTTGTGCAGTCAACCCTGGAAGCGCCATGAAATGTGCTGCTTGTCATCAACCACAAAAATTCTAATTTAAATACCTGTACGGTGCCTTACCTGGTCCCTAGACCTAAGAGCCGCATAATTATTACCTGCACGATGCCTTACCTGGTCTCCAGACCTAAGAGACGTGCATATATTACATGTACAGTGCCTTACCTGGTCCTCAAGCCAAACGCCACGCATATATTACCAGTACGGTGCCTTACCTGGTCCCCAGACCTAAGAGACACGCATATATTACATGTACAGTGCCTTACCTGGTCCTCAAGCCAAAAGCCACGCATATATTACCAGTACGGTGCCTTACCTGGTCCCCAGATCTAAGAGACGTGCATATATTACATGTACAGTGCCTTACCTGGTCCTCAAGCCTAAGAGCCACGCATATATTACCTGTACGGTGCCTTACCTGGTCCCCAGACCTAAGAGCCACGTAATTATTACCTGTACGGTGCCTTACCTGGTCCCTAGACCTAAGAGCCGCTTCAAATACAGTACTCAGTCACTTATTATTCTTCCCAAGCAATCCCAAACTCAGATTTCCTTCGATGGTTAGTTTGTGATTGTTTTTGAAATCAGTGAATAGCAGCCGGACAGTAATTATAAGCTAGTACATAACTACCTCAGACGTGTACACAAAAAACTTCAAATTTAAAGTACCTTCCAGGTTTGTCCAAAGTTTCCTTTGAAGACAGTCAGAACTTGAGGCACAGGAAGGCGAGTGGGGACGGTGTCTTCTCTCCTGACTTTAAGGACCTGGTGAAGTTGAAGAATGTCTACTCTGAAAAGTCCCTCCTCTAATTTACAGCTGCGCCACAACAGGCTTTGTACCTTGATCCTTGTCAAACATGCTTATTGATTGATTTGTAAAAATAAAACTGGTGGTTAAATACTGATCAGGACATGTGATCACTACAATTGTTACTCCGTGAAGGAGGTCTGGTTCACAGTGGAATGATCTACCACTACGCCACCTGACGCCACAATTCTAGTAATCATCAAAACCGGAAAAACCACATCTTTTATGTTGTCTAAGATTTGTCTGTTCCCTTCAGAAGAGAGTTGAATTTTTCAGCGGAAAGACCCGTCTCCACAACTGGTCCACAGGTACGTCTTTTAAAGCTTTCCTCTCTGTTGTTCCTGCTAGCACACTCCAGTATCACCTGTCGGTCGTCGCCTAGGTGTCTTCACTCTCACCTTGCTTCGCTTGGTGAATATTTCTCACTACATGTTTCATGATTCCATGAAGTTTCTTTATCAATATAAATTGTAAGTCTAGCAGTTTCTTGGATCGTCACGCTTTAGATTATTTGGACGGGCCGCGCCGACATAGCGAGGGGCGGCGCAGGCCAAGTCCGTCGTCGCTTTAAAAAATACTACTATCTCATTATAAGGCTAAGAAAAAAGTTAAAATCAGAGTCAGGACTCTTCTAGATCGATAATAATTACAAATTTGTTGACCCAAAATTCATATTATTTGCTGAGAAATTATGGGGCAGACTTGTCCTGTGCTTGGTGCCGAGTTGTCCTGAATGGCCAGGGGCCAAGTTGTCTCAGGGGCCGAGTTGTCTTGGAATCGCTTGGGCCCAGTCAACTTCGCTTTTTTTCTCGTTTAGGGCTGCTATCTGGCTATCCAGTGGCCAACAAATAATGATGACATATATCAGGTAACGAAATACTGCTAGCTAAGACCATCAGTATGTATACTTTTCCATGCGGTGTAATGTTGGGTATTTTAAAGTCTCTAATCAGATTTTTTCGGTAGCCAAGACAGTATGCAACTAACTGCATGCTGTCTTGCCTATTTATTTGATACCGTGTAGGCTACCGAAATATCTGTTTGGAGATTAGATATTTTAACAAACATATTAATTCCAAAATATGTACACTAAATAGCCAAAAACATCGCGGCGCAAAACTCATTCTTATTCATTCATACAAACCTAGGACTCCAAAAGTGCTTTGCAATTATTTTATGATATACGAAGATGCCAACCTGAGTCCCGAATGTTTTAAACATTTTGAAACATTTGGCTGGAGCCGCCGAACAGTAGCCACCCTCGCTGAACACCAGCCAGCCACAGTCGGCTTTGCCATGGTTGGGGGGAATTCAGTCGTGTTCGGGAGAGAATATTTGTCAACATGTGGCTGGGGCTTAGTAATATTCACAAATGCATACTGTTAACATGCCCCTATCTACAGACATATCTTTTTACCTACATGAAAATGTAGATATTGTTTTTGGTCTGTCTTTCTGTGTGTTTCCGCAAACTTGTGACCAGCATAACTAAGAAGGCCTTTATGGATTGTGAGATTGTGGGTATGTTGAAGGAAGACGAATGTCAAGGTCAAATTTGAAAAATATCCCAAAACAAAAAGTCACCCAAAATTACAATGGCTCTAAATATTTTCATGTAGGTATGAGATCTCCGAATTCTTGTTTTATCCATTTAGTTAATAAATGTACTGATATAGATACGCACTTGCTTCACTAGCTTATTATTTCTAGGAATCCTGGGATATTTCATCAGTTTCGTCAGCAGCGCGTGAAAAGATGTCTACAGCCAAGTTCACACGAGCCATCGTCCGCCAGATTCCCGACTCCATCCGGGACCATTCGGAAGCAAACGAATATAATGCAAGATACGGCCTACCGCCAGTCGAGCCAATCGACCTGGATCTAGCCCGTAAGGAGCACGCGGAGTACACACAGACCCTGCGGGACCTAGGGCTGGACGTGACCGTCTTGCCGGCAGACGAGTCTCTCCCAGACTGCCCCTTCGTGGAAGACACCTGTGTGATAGTCGGCAACAGGGCACTGCTGACTCGGCCGTATTCAGAGAGCAGGAGGGGAGAGGTAATTTAAAAGCTTTATTTCACACTTTGATGTGAGGACTTGTAAACTTATAGCCAACCCCAACTTAATCTCAAGTCAAGACTACGACTGAAATTTAGTTGCTAATCTCTTTCATTGTTTTTGGTCTGTATGTATGTATGTATGTATGTATGTATGTATGTTTGTTTGTGTGTGTGTGTGTGTGTGTGTGTGTGTGTGAGTGAGTGTGTGTGTGTGTGTGTGTGTTTGTGTTGTGAAATGAAACCTTGCCAAAGGATAAGACCTTTTACATATAAAATGTATGTAACATTAGTTTGGAAAATCACAACATACAGTGGTCTGCGCTGTATAATCATAACATTATTTGCATAATCAATGAGACAAATACAAATATGTACAAAAGTTTTAGATATTTCATGGAGGTATTAGACCTCCGAATTTTTGTTCATCTGACCTGTAACCTTTCCAATTGAAAGTATTCCTAAAACTGTGAAGAACAGAACAAGAGATAAACAATTCCTCATTACGATGGTGCAGATTAAATTTATTTAAGCAGGAAATACATGTCGCCTATTGGCGGTTTTCAAAGATTCCTGGGAGGATAACCCCAACAAAACTACATGCCATTATAATTATAAAGATGAACTAACAAAGGTCAACTAAAATAGATAAACTTATCGTGAACAAGACGAAATCGTAACTAACTACTTTTTTTCTCTTTCTACTCTTTTTCTCTTGTAAAGGCCGACGCTGTAAATAGGGTATTGATGGGCCTTGGACTGGAGATACACCAAGTCGATGATGAAGAAGCAACGTTGGAGGGCGGTGACGTTTTCTTCACAGGTTTGAATGGTTACTGACCTGATTTTGTTTGTAGTTCTGTTACGACCGCATAATGAACAAGAAATCTGAGATTCCAAACCTCCTGGGAAGTATATAATGCATAATGCTCACAAAACCTGTTGACAATTTCAGACATCACATTGACAAAACTCGAAACATTAACTACTGTTAGTGCCCTGTCCCCGGTATAGTGGTACGGTCCAAAAAGTGGTCTGTTTTTCTAATAACTGACCACTTTTAAGTTTATGGCCTGATAACCAATGGCAAATTGAGCCTACTGATTGGTCAACGCCTTCTGGCTATATGATAATACATAATAATACATTATTGCAAGTTTGTTGCAAGCTTTGACTTTGTTTTACCCTCTTTCCACGGGCGCCGCCATATTGGATTGTGACCTATCTTGTTATTTAGGACACGAATTCTTCGTTGGCAATTCAACGCGCACCAATATCAAGGGTATAGAGTTCCTGCGAAAGACGTTTCCGGAGTATCCCGTACACGCTATCCCCCTGGCACCGCCCGAATTGCATCTGAAGGGGGTCGCCTGTATTGCAGCGCCTGGAGTCATTGCCGTGTGCGAGAGCGACTGGGGGATTGCCGCCTGGAAGGTTTACATATTTTCGCTCGTCTCAATACAGTATTTTGTCCCTATAAGTATACACTGTGGGGTCGTGTGGCGTAGCGGAAGAGTGTGCGACTCGGAACTAAGAGTCCCGGGTTCGAGTCCTGACATGCCACCGATCTTGTGTCCTTGGGAAAGGCACTTTACACGACTTTCCTCACTTAGCTCAGGAGTAAATGAGTATTGTCCTGTCATGTATTTATCCCCTGTGTTGGTGGCGGCATTAATATAAGTTGAAAAAACTTGAGTGTGTCGTCAGCACGTCTGGTGATTACATGTTGGAATAAAAAAAAAAGTATACATTTACCTCCCAAGTATATATAGATTAGCACCGCGCTGCCTTTATGGTCATGTAACATCAACTCTCGTAATTCTACCCTAAAACTTCCTCTTTAAGGGGCATTTTCTAGCATTTTTGCACCAAAAAATTGAAATTAATTAAAGAAATCTTGGCGTGGTTGTGATTTACTTTTACTTTGCAACACCTGTGTGCAATTAAATCACATTTCTGACATCTATAGATGGTGATAAATTGCCCACACAAGGCGCACTCATTTTGTGGAACCACCACAAAATACTAGAATGTAAACAAGCATAGCTGATAGCAGTGTGTTTCCTATGATTCAACTTACTTTGTAGAAATGACCAGAAAATTGACTTTTCGTATGGTCTTATGGTTACATGATGCAGTCCTTCTCATGAATGTCTTAAACACATGAATATCTGAAGTGGGCATACCTCAGAAATTACTGATAATGACGCCTTACATATTAAAGTTTCATAACTTTTCAGCAGGTAACTGACACCTGGCTAACTAAACCTTAGCAATCCGTGTCGGAATTATTTACTCAAAACAATTCTGGATATGTTTCAGGCCATTCAGGAACAGGCTGGATTCTCTTATGAAGCCCTGTGGACACCGGTACCAGACGTCGACTCTCCATTCATTGATGATCATACCTGTGACGTCATTTATTTCAACGGAAACCTCATCCACTGCATGGAGGAAGAAGGGCCGAAGAGTGTGGAGGTCTGTTGATTCAACCAGTTATTGAGATCAAATTTTCAGCGACCACTGTCGCCTTCATCAGGACATGGAGGTAGAAGATCTCTTTCTTTTACCTCCATGATCAGGATAATTAATGACCAATCACTTCACAACGTGATCTCGCGAGAGTTACGGTTTACAAACACATGACCTCAGTAAAGCCTCGTGTGAATAAGGTCATGTGTTTGTAAACCGTAACTCTCGCGAGATCACGTTGTGAAGTGATTGGTCATTAATTATCCTGATGAAGGCGACAGTGGTCGCTGAAAATTTGATCTCTGTAAATTGTGTGTTGGAATAAAGTTTAATGTTTTACTATGATTACTACCAACAGAGATGAACTTTCATGATAATCAACCAGTTATTGTAATACGTGTAGAACATACTAGTAAAACACATATTACATATATGTTGGTCTTTGTTCTAGCCTAGAATGATATCAGTGCACTCTGTTTAATGGTCTCATAATCGCTACTCAATTTAATTAAAACATGAATAGCAACATTCGTTATTCACAACCATTTGTTTAAGAAGATAGACTTGACGTTTTGATGACCGTCTGTCATGTTCATCAGTGTAATCCATTGTGCACTGAAGGTAGGTGTTACTG